GGGTAGGGTTAGGGGTAGGGGTAGGGGTAGAGGTAGGGATAGGGATAAGAGTAGAGGTCTGGGTAGGGGAGTATTAGATTCTAAGCAGATCAAACCTCTCCATCTGGCATTTTGGGTAGGGTTTGGGTTTAGTGCTACTTGTCTGAGTGAACTGTGCCAAGTGTAAAGTTTGGTGGAGGAGGGGTTATGTTGTAGGTCTGTCTTTCAGGAACTGGGGTTAGCTCCATATCTCCAGGGAAAGGAACTCTGAATGCTTCAGCATACCAAGAGATTTTGGACAGTTTTGTGCTCCCTGTGCTTTGAGGGAAGGGTGTGGAGATGGTCCTTTGGCTGTGACTGTTGAGCTTGGACATTTTCTGTCTCTATAAAGTCAGAATCCATTTTTAGGGAAGAGTAATGGCTGGTAATATCGTTTAAACGATCTAAAGAATCGTATTGAATCAGAAAGAGTCACAGTTGATTGGGATAATATGATGGTATTAAGGTTTATAAAGTAGGATCTCTTTTAAAGCAGACTCTCTTAACCATAGGAGTACAATGCCTTAACCCTTTCTATACCCATTTAGCACTTTAGTCTAGTTCCAAAGTTACAGGCCTACAGCTGAAAAAAGGAGTAACATTGAAATGTTTGAATTGGGTTGGTTTGTTCAGGCCTACAGCTAGTCCCAAGTATAAATTCAGTAAAACTAACTTTGCCCTACACCAAAAAAAACAAAACAAAGTCATGCAGAATGCTAAAGTAAACAGAGCAATAAGTTACTTGCTCATTTGATCCCCATTCTAACATTTATTCCTCAGTCTTACAGTCTAATTGTCTTAGTCCAACCCTATTCTGCTCTCTTTCTCAATTCTTCTTCAACTCTTGTATGTAGGAATGTGTGCGAGGTCTCCGTGGCAACGTGATATCAGACCTTTCTGACTCTCGATCCTCCCTTGTATGGCTTATGCAACAGTTATAGATTACTTTGGCAGTGTGTAACACTCGGAGTCAAGTTACGACATCCTCAAACTGCAGTCACCACCATCTCCACTTATCAGTCCCAGAAAAACGTTCTGATGCTGTGGGAGAGGTTGTTCACAAAGCAGGTTTTTTTTTCAAAGCAACGATTCAGTGCAGCTCGAAAGCAAAACCTCCGCATCCCTAGCTGACACCATTTGGAAGTCTTTCCTTTCATTTCCTCCTTTTTTAATCAGGTCTGTGCTTGTCTGAGTCAGAGTCCTCTCACAAAGCTGCAATCCTGTCCACAGGAGCAGGGCATGAAGTCGCCCTCGGCCGTGTCCAACCAGTGGGGCTCGTACTTTGTGGACGTGCACAAAAGCGGCGGAGGGGACGAGGAGCAGCAGAAGCTGACCTGGTGCTGCCACTGCATCCACAAGTACAGCACCATGGCCATCCCCAGTGTGGAGCACATAGCAGGTCTGTGGAGAGAGAGAAAACATGGAGATCCTGATCCGTGAAACCAAAACGAGCTGTCTGCATCTCTGGTCTGTTGGTAGTCGGGCAGAGGAGGGTGTCTGGTTTCAGGAACCTCAGATTCACACATCTGGTTTTTGATGATGTGGTTCTTTTGGCGTCTCTGGATCAAGACCTTTAGCGCACAGTGGTACAACTCATGGTTGTGTGTAAAGGATTAAAGGATCAAAACAAGGAGTTTAGCTATAGATCGTGGTTTTTCCCAAAATTAAGGATAATGAAAAACCTCAAACATGACCCAAAATGACAGAAATTAGGGTTAGCACTGCATACCCACATTAAGGAACGTTCAAAAAGATCTTTCTCCAGTATTCTAGCACATATTTTTTCTTCAAAGCCAAAAGTTTTATTGCTAGTTAGAGGCCACATCTGTTTATTACAGGAGTCTTTTCTCCATCAGCAGCTGACAGTGAGATACATCCTGATTTAGTCACTGTGGAGCAGCTAATGGAGAATAACCTGTGGTTCTCTCCGGTAACTTTCTGTGGACAAAGCCCAGAGTCTGTTCGGTATCCCTTAATCTGAAATATAACCCAGTCCCTGTCATTGCTCTGACGCAGAAGGAACCACTGCTCACTGCTCAACAGTGAGAGTTAGACTGTAGAAATAAATGGGAAACGGGTGGAATATGAGACCTGTTTCTCACCTCCACACGGTCCGTTTGTGCAGAGGTGAAAGGGTTTTTGGGGAATGCCAATATTGTTGTCATTTACTGAAAAAAATCCAAATGAACGTCATGATGACAGAAGGGGATGTGAACAGCTAATTTGCAATCTGTTAACACAAATATATTCTGAAATGCAAATGATCATAAATATCATCAATGTTTCAAAAGTGTTAAAACTAATTGATTAAATTATTGTACCTCCAGTTAAGTCACTCGTGTTTATTTTCATATGCTCTGCAATGGCCCTATAAAAAGATGTATTTATTTACATTATTTTAAATTTTTGAGCATGGACCCAGTAGCTCAGAATCTATTATATGGCTCTAAAATGATGATCTGCAACTCTCAGTGAGTTTCTTCCTTCAGAAACACAGATTTTAGCCACCAGGTACGATGAAGCAGTGCCATAAAAGAATTGGTTCTCCGTTCTCACAGCTTTTCTGCTCTCCTTTGACTCTGTAGGTCTTCCTCTGGATTACAAGTTTCCCAGGTTTTCCCCCGACAAGCCCTGCACCACCGGCTACTACCCCAGGCCCCCGGAGTCTTTGCTCAAGAGGTGTGAGAATCTGTCTTAAAATGGGGGGGAAAAAAAGGGAAAAAAAAAAATTCCTCTCTAACCCTTCTGCCTCAGGAGAGGAATGTGCCTCCATTTTGCCAGTCATTTCCAACCTGACCCCCCCCCCCCATCATCTGTGGAGCACAGGAGCCATACCCTCCTTCACGTTCAGAGTGTTCTTGTGAATGTAAGCCACAGTATCTCTCTGTTAACATTGAAAGTTATTTTGTGGTTCGGTGTATTGTATACCTTGAAATACTAGAAAATAAATGTGTTTGCACACAGAACTATATATACATACGTCTGTGTGTATATATACCTACATCCATGGATATGGATATATATATTATTTATATATAATATATATATATAGAGAGAGAAATATGTACATTTGTGTGTGTGTGTGTGAGGCCCTCTGTTATTTAAGAAAGCTGAATCTGTCTAAAAGTGAACATTTATCTGTGTGATTTACCTTAAAGGGATTTACCTTAAAGGGATTACCTCGAGAACCAGGGGGGTTCAGACCCTTAGGAGTCATGGTTCCCGTTTTTCTGTCGGTGTGAACGCCTCTTTTTTCCGACACAGTCAAACTGTGTGTGCGTTTAGTGAGCTCAACATGAGGTTTGAGGTCTGCCGTATCCCCAGTGTCTTCTTCTTTTCTTTTTTCGATGGTGTTAACGGATGCCACAACTGTGGAACAATACCGTCCTTTGTGTCTGCTGTTCCAGAAAATATAACTTTGGGAAATAATAAAGTCGCTGAAGACTACGCTAGATATTCTCTGTGTTACTTTTGGTGGAACTGTGACAAGTGCTCTTTGGGTGATTGTGTACATATGTGGATCACTTGTGCTTCATTCACACGCAGAACCAGATGCTTTAAAGGACTTTTGGATGGTTATTTTTGGAGGTGTAGGCTTTCTTGCTGTGATATTTTAGGAACACTGGGTCTGTTAAAAGCTCGTTTGATGCAAAGAGGATTAGAATCAGGAATTTGGGACGTTTTCAGACAAACAGAACCACAAAGTGGGGAAAACATCCGGCAGAAAGTGCGTCTGTTTTCTGTTACACTGATTCGGTTTGTTTTGTTGGATTCTTTGAACTCGTTTCAATTCAATGTGCGCAGCTGAGTTTTACAGTCCCAGTTGTTTGTGCATTAAGATGGGAACTGAAAATTATAGAAACATCAAAGCTCTGTTTTCTGTTCTCCAACAGTGACCAGCTGAATCCAGATACTTTATCATTTCAAAAAGGTTTCTGACTGATGTGGTTAAAGAGAACTTGAACTGATCTTTGCAATAGTTCAAATCTGACAGCTTCAGAACTAAACTGGATCTTTTTAGTTGGCTTCCTTGGATCGAGCCCAACATTCTGCTGTAAACTTGGCAAATAGCCAGGAGCACTCCAGCAAGCTGCAACTAAAAAGTAGTCACTTTATTCAGTGGATAAAAGTTGTTTTTTTAGTTTTTTGTCTTCCTGCTAACCCCTCACAGAGACCCTGAAGCCCTCTGATTTT